CGCATGTACAAAATATTTAACCTTTAATGAATTTTTCATATATTTGGCTCAAAAAATTTTTTTTTAATTATTGCATAATATTTTTTTAAAGAATTGAGTTCACAAATTGATTTTTCAATGCTGTCTACAAAATAGAGTTCTTTAAATGTTCTTTAGAAAAATTTTTATGACAAGTCTTAATTGGGACAATTGAATAAGTACAAATTTCATAAGTGCAAACTGGCATAAGTGCAAATGGCATAAGTGCAAACTAGCCTAAGTGCAAACTTGCATAAGTGCAAACTGACATAAATGTGAAGCAGTTTTAAAAACTGGCACAAATGCAAATTGGCATAAGTGCACCAAAAGAATTTGCAAACATCGGCATGAGTGCATATTGGCATAAGTGTGAACGTCATAAGTGTGAATCAGTTGTAAAAACTGGAAAATAAGCATAAAAAAATGCAAATAAGCATAATTATGTATTGGCATAAGTACGCCAAACAAATTTACAAACATTGGCAAAAATGCGAATTGGCATAATTGCGAACTGACATAGGTGCGAACTGGCATATATGCACCAAATAAATTTACAAATATCGGCATAAGTGAAAATTGGCATAATTACAAACTGGCATAGGTGCGCCAAATAAATTTATAAACATTGGCATAAGTGTAAACTATCATAAGTGGGAATCAGTAGCAAAAACTGGAATAATTACAAATCAACATAAGTGCGCCGAACAAACTTACAAACATTGGCATAAATGTGAATTGGCATAAGTGTGTACTGACAAAAGTGTGAAGCAGTTACACAAGCTGGCATAAGTGCAAATGTGCAGGCTTCGCCAGGAAGACGTGCGATTTCAAGTTTTTATATGACCACGCAAATAATATTTTGCTATGATGATTTAACCAAGGCTTTTAAATAAAGGCTTTTAAACAACAAACGCTAAAAAAAATGGTTTTTTAATTACATTGAAAATAAATTGATGCATTTATCTTTACTAATGTTTTTATATTAGCAAAACGCTTTTAAATAAAGATTTCAATTATCATTGAAAGTTGTATATTTCTTTATTAATATTATTTAATTATATAAGATTTTTTTATAAATAAAAAAAGTAAAATTTTAGACTTTATTAAGCGAAGGTCTCTAATAAACTTCATACAAGAGTCATTGAAGTTTTTTTTGAGAAGAAAAAAAAACTATTTTTTCAAAAAAGTTTTTTTTTGAAAAAAAAAACTTTTTTGAAAGCCGTTTGAATTAACTAACTTCGATCTTTACTTACGTTTTTACTTTATTGAATTTAAATAAAGTAACAAGTCACTGCTAATGATTTTTTATAAAAACATATATATATATTTTTAAAGTATTTATTTTTTATTATAAATGTTTAAAAAAAAAAAATTAAATCAAAATTTTAAATAAACATTTTAACTATTTTTTCTTTAGTGCGAAGAATTAAGAATCTTTTTTTAAACTTTTAAACGTGCGGGTTTTTAAAACAATCGTCAGTTGTTAGTTGTTACTTTATTAAAAAAGCGTTTCGCATAATTCGCATAATTATATTAAAAAAGCATTAGTAAAGATAAATGGTTTAAAGTTATTTATTCCAAACGTAATTTAGAAATCTTATCGTTATAGTTTATTATTTAATTTAGTTAAGTTTTCATTTTATTTCTGCTATTTTAGTTAAGTTATTTTTCTTTTGTCTTTTTTTTGTTTTTTTACCAAGATTTATTTTACTTCTTTTACGATAAGTTTTTTTATAGCTAAGATAATTTTTTTAGCGCGTTTTTAAAACATACAAATTTTCAAAACATATTAACAGCCATGGTCAAGTTAAGTAAAATCAAATAGTACTTGCGTGGTCATATTATGACGTGAAATTGCACACCTTCCTGGCCAAGCCTGTAAGTGCGCCAAATAAATTTGAAAACATTGGCATAAGTACAAATTGTCATAAATAATTATTGGCATAAGTGCGTCAAACAAACTTACAAACATTGGCATAAATGCAAATTAGCATAAGTGTGTACTGGCTAAAGTGTGAAGCAGTTACAAAAACTGGTATAAGTGAGAACTGGCATAAGTGCAAATTGGCATAAGTGCGCCATATAAATTTGAAAATATTGGCATTAGTACAAATTGTCATAAATATGAAGCAACTACAAAAACTGACATAAATGTGAACTGACATAATTGTGAATTGGCATAAGTGCGCCAAATAAAATTGCAAATATTAACATAAGTGCAAATTAGCATTTCACACTTATGCCGATTCACATTTATGCCAATGTTTGCAAATTTATTCAGCGCACTTATGTCAGTTGAATTTATGCCAGTTCGCACTTATTCAGTCTCTCAGCTTAATTGATGAAACAAAGGGTAATTTATACCAATTCGCACTTATGTCTGTTTGCACTTGTGCTAGTTTTTGCAACTGCTTCGCCCTTATGCCAGTTCGCACTTATGCCAATGTTTGCAAACTTATTTGGCACATTTATGCCAATTCGCACTTATGCCAGATCGCACTTATTCAGCTTCCCAACTTAATTGATGAAACAAAGGGTAAAACAAAAAAAGTTTGATAAGTGATTTTCTACTTCTAAAGTTTGCAACTTTTTGCTAACCTCAGACATTGTCAGTTCAGCAGTTAGGCCGGCATTTCCAAATGCCAACTCTAACTAAGGGCTGTATAAATATATATATATATATATATATATATATATATTTATACAGCCCTTAATATATTTATATATATTTATATATATATTATATATATTATACTATATATATATATATATATATATATATATATATATATATATATATATATATATATATATATATATATATCAGGGGCATTTCTAGACCGTTTTCGACAGTGTCTACCGTATTTGGTATTTGGGCGCTGCCCAAATTAAAAATTGATGACCTTTTTTTTTTTACATTTTTTACTGCAAATGTTGTTTTTTTTGCAATAAAACGCGGATATTCAGCAATATTAAGTATGTATGTATGTATATATGTATATATGTATGTATAATTATATTTAGATGAATAAAAACAACTGATTAGCGGGACTTAAAGTTTCATGCCCGAAGGCAATCATCAGCCGTTAATACAAACAAAAAACGTAAACAAACCGTTACAAAAACGTAAAAATTACTGTAGAATGACATCTGACGTTATAAACAAATCTACGTAAAAAACAAATCAAAAAACAAAAAACAAAAAGCCGTTATAGTTTATTAGTTCCCTGTGTCAAATAAAGATAATAGGAACTTTTTTGAATGCCGACACTGAGATATGATTTCGTTTTTTTTATTTAGTAGATTTTTTCCATTATGCGATAAAATTACATATTTTTCGTAGAGACAAAGGTGGCATATTTTTTTTGCTAGATTGTAAGGTTTACAACGTTTGACAATTTTCCATTCTATAATAGGCTTTATGTTTTGGTCTTTTAAACTCCATATTTCCTTAGATAGTTCTGTGTCATTTCTATATTTAATTGATGCAAATGATTTGAGATGGTTTGCGTATCTTAGTTTAAATGGTGTACTACTAATGCCAAAATATACTTTTTTATTACGATCATGATGACTGGAACCTACGGTTGCTTGATAGACAATATTGTTAGATAAACATTGATTGTTCAAAGGGCAAAATGCTTTATCTACGCAGTTACATTGGTTGGTTTTTAATTGATTTTTGCTGTGTAAAATTTTGGAATTATGCGAATTTATGATAGATTTTAGGTTAGGCATGCAACTGTAGCTAATCTTAACAGAATTTCGGTTGAATATTTTATGTAGCTTGTGACCGGCTGGAAAATGTAAGTCAATAAGGGCTAGAAAACGGTTTCCTATTTTTGTTTTGACGTTTAAGCTGAACGGAGGGTTATACCAAATAATATTACGTTTACGTTGTTTTGACTTGAGATTATTTGTGGATGGTAGGTAAGGTTCGATTTATATCCCGATTTTTTTAAAGCCTCTTCATACGGTGGAATAGCCTTTTTGAAGAAATTTTTATTAATTGACATGGAAGATAATCTTTGTTCGATATTGCGAGGGATTGCTTTTATTATGCTTGGAGGGTGGAAGATTTCGGCTTATATCGTGACCGTCGTCACGATATAAGCCGAAATCTTCTTTATTATAATGTTGTGAAATTTGATACAGTATGAAAATACCTATTAATTCGCAAACTTCAGCACCATCAAATGCCCCCATTGTTACATCGAACAACCCACCTTTTTTTTTAATCCATGCTTCATCGTTGTTGAAGATAAGAGATTTTCTTGCATGCTTTATTAATGCTTTGTCTTTGCTTTTGATAACGATATGATGGTCAGCAAAATTCATAGCATTGTTGAGGGTGCTTTCCTTTATGGAAGGATAAAAATCGTTAACATCAAAAACTAGAAATTTGTATAAGTGCTTATTGGTGATTTTTTTAAACCAGTCTAAAACATTTTGCGTACTTTGCCATTGATTCAAAAAAAGTTTATTTTTAAGTTCACAATTAATTTTTGTTAAAATTACCTTAGAAATTCGTCCTACCTCATTTTTTGAAGGGTTCAAAAGGCGCACAGATGGATTGTTAGCGAAGTTTTCCTTGTGATCTTTCAAAATGAAAAAACAGTTAGAGGATCCGTTTATTTCTATTTTTTTATATACCTCGTGGTTGGTTAAAATTTGTTTTCCTTCTTTGTTTATATGGTCCTTTAATTTTGGATTTGCTTTTTTGTATGTAGTGGTAATAGCATTTGTTAACAGATTATTGTAATCTTCTTTAGACAGTTTATACATACTTGATGTTTTGTCAGCATGTGTTAGAGTTTTGTGAGTATATTTTTGATATCTTTTTTCATACCATTTTGAAAAGTTTTGCGTATATCTTGAAACTTTATTGATTTAATAATTTTGATTAAGTCTTTTTCGAAGAATGACATTTCTTTTATTTGCGGTGGACATATATGAGATCTAATTCCGTAGTTTGTATAATT